CACCACAATAAATTAAAAATAAAGAAAGAAACTGGCAGTGAAAATGAAGGATTTTTCTTTTTTTGTTTTCAAGCAAGCGAGCAGGCCTACTTGTGAATTTCAGGCATGTTTTCTTAGACCTTCAGCTCAATGTTACCCTGCTTAACTACATTAATCTGTTACTGGGTAACTCCAGAAAGAATGTTAGACCAAACCATTAGGAGCTTGGTGGTTTCCCCCCCAGAGCATTATTGAAATTTGACAACATTCTCATACTGTCTGCTTTCTTTTAAGGATTTGGCTATCAAAAATAAGGGTAAGTGAAAGAAACCAAGAGAAACTAATGACCAAGTGAATAGTAGTATTTAAAGTCTTGAGTTGCTATGATACCGGCCTGCCCATGACCTGGTGGATAATGCTCACCAAGTTTGCTTTCTGAGCATCCTGGTGCCTGTCCCAGAGTCCTGTCTCCATCCTGGCTTGTTGGCTCCACCGCCAGTACCACTCACTTCAGGCCTGAGGAAGGACTGCCTCCATCACAGGCTGGGTTCAGTCAGACCGGGGATGGATCCCAGTGCCTAGATGGGAGAGGCTGCTGCGAAGTGCACTGTCCAGGTTTGGGTCCCTTCTCGGCCTTGTGGACTTCACGTCCGTCATGCCCAGCCATCACAGTGCGTTGGCTCCCAGGTTCTGGCCCACAGTGGGAAACTGTGCACTGTTTTCCAGATGCTAAGCAATCCCCGCACATGAGTTTGGAGTGGAGTTTCTGTGGAGGTGCCTGCTTCCTTTTTTCAGCTTCAAATTTACAGGAAAGGACTCAAGAAGCATTGAAACATATTACATCCTCTCTCTTCAGTCCACCAGTGTCTCAAGTTAGGCCACCATGTGGAGCTGAGCCTTTACTGAGATTTGAAGTATCAAAATAAAGAAGGATCTGTGTCTTTTCCTTTTTTACTTCACGTTGTGGAACTGCTGAGGTGGTTTGCAAGGTGCTTCTGACCTCAGAGGAAACCAAAGCAGCTGTGGGAATGCATCCTGTGTAGGCCCGGGCCGTGCCACATTCTCAGCAGGCATATTGGCCGTGTCTGCTGCACGCCTAACTCTGACCTGCATCTCAGAAGGGAGCATTTCTGTTCCTCACTCTTGAAAATGTAGACTCAGATTCTTAAAATCCTCTGTGAACTGTTCCTCAGATTTGCCTGGCATTGAGTTCCAAACTGGCAAAACCTCCCAGCGCTGGTCCTTGATGCAGTGAAACGCGCTCTTACACCAAGTGTGCCTCTACCACCCAGCATGCTTGGGCAGTGGCCTCGCGTTTGGTTTGGACCAATTTATACAGTGTCCGTGTGCTTGTGAACATTTTATCTCCGCAGCTCGGCATAGCTGAGTAGAAAATGGGGCAGAAAAGTGTGATAACAAAAGAAACTTTTCTGTGACGTCCAGTATTTCTCTTTTGATCACCGAGTACCACAAGGAGGATCTTTCTTTCTGGCTTCCAACTTTTCCATGTCAGGAGCTCTCTGGGAGTTACCATGAGTGCCGCCTGGGATCCACTCTGGTGTTCTTCCTCCTCCTCCATGACCCTCTTCTCTCTCTTTCCAACAAAGGTGGAACAGCTCCTAAAGTAGGTAAACAGAAACAAGTTCTTATAATCTGTAATCAAAATCAGTATTTTTCTCTAGTGGCAAAATGCACAGTAGATACCTTTCAATGTTATTCTGCAAATGTTTCAATTTTTGGTTACAGTAGAAAAAAAGATAAAAGATAATCTATAATTAATTATATTTTGCTTCTACCGAGAAGCAAATATATCTGATATTTACACAGACATATTCACTGAAAAAGCCACAAACCCATTGGATCCTAGAAATAAATTCTAATGATTAATGCATCTTTTAAAAAATATGAACACTTTTTCCTTTAAAAATTTCCCCGTTACGTACTTATTGCCTTTACTAGAAATACCCAAATGTGAACATCTCCCTGCAGTAGGGCTGATAATTTTAATGCAGATTCTGAAGACTATGTCTCCTTATGCTTACATTTAAAAAAAAAATTCAGGACCTTTTCTACATACATCCAGAATCAACTTAACTTTTTGACCCAATTAGCTGATTAGCCTGATGAATTTAATTAAAATAGGGGTGTGCTTGTGCAGAGAAGAACGGCATTACTATAATGTGGTGGTTAAGATGAACAAGACTGATTCGATAACTAATTAATTTCATTAACAAGATCGTTTTGTGTCAAGCAGAGATACAGGTTCAGACCCTTCCTAGCTGTGTGACTGTGGTCTCACGAGGGGAGTTGCCCTGCACCCCACTCCTGGATGTGTTTAAAGCCCCTGCCCCACGGAGCCGCTGCAGGGAACAAGTCGGGTGAGGTGCTGAGCACCACCCCAGGCTGGAAGTCAGTGGCAGACGGCAGGGCAGGCACTGTCAGGGTCCAAGTCCTTCGGTCTGCGTCCTGGGAGCTTCAGGAAGACGGCACCTCCGGGCCACTGCGAGGTCTCTGAGGGCGGGCAGGGCATCGCTGCTTTCTGAAGGCAGCAGGATCTCCATTCTTCACCTTTTTACAGCGTAGACATTGCTCCTTCCCCTGTTCACATCAGCTTGAGCTTTTCATCACAGTTCTAGAGTTGAAAATGGCAGAACTTCCACAGGACTCATGTTGATGAGTTTCTCAGGCAGAAGCAGGCAGGGATGAGGTGGAGTCTCGCTCTGCACTGGAGGGAAATGCAGCCAGTGGTCTGCGGAAGGAGGGAGAGGGACCCGCCCGCGAGCCCTCTGCCGTCCTCTGCTTTTGAACTAAAGGTACCCACCTGGGCCTCCCGTCCACAGGCTGCGCATAGCTCCTCCTGTGGCGGCTTCTCAGAACCGTGTAACGAGTGTGTGTGTCAGGACCTGCTCCGCCCGGCACTGTCAGGTCCCCCTGCGGCTCAGCTGGCGTCTCCTTGGTCCGGCTTTCAGCTTGGCCCCGGAAACCACCCGGTGGACCCAGCTCTGCTCTTCCGCCACCTCCCACCCTGTGCTCCTCTGACTTCACATTTACATAGCAGCAACCAGGAAGCTACACTGAAAGATTTTTAGTTGGTTTTGCAGTATGGACCTCTGCGGGGATGCCAGCTACACACCGATTTCCCTGTTCAGCCGTGTTGTACGAAATGTGAATTTGGCTCAGCTGGGATCTTCTGTCAGAACTTCTGATGGCACGCCCCCAGACCATCAGGATGTGTTCCCTTGCTAGGAATGTCACCTTAACCTCAGCAGAAGAGAACCAGCACACCAGGTGTGGTGCTGTGCCCCCGTAAATCCAGCCACTCAGAAGGCTGAGGCAAGAGGACCACAGATTCAAGTGGGCCACTTAATGAGACTGTGTCTCCTAACACAGTTTAAAGCAGGACTGGGCTGTACCTCGGCTGTACAGTGCTTGTGTGTGACATCCTGAATTCAGTCAGAGAGGAGGGAGAGAGAGGGAGATTTGTATGGGACGTGCAACCCAGGGAATGTAAATCTTTCACCTAAACCTTAATCTCTTTAATCCTTTGTATTTCAAGGTCTAGTCAGTAATTTTTCTAGTCCACAATATTGGCCTTTCTTATACACTTTCCTTTATATGTTATCCTTTTTTCTATTTTTGTTTATATTGTGTCCCTAAAGGCTGACGTTAAAAATATAATTTAAAAATTTTGCTTTTGGATTATATTTATGGATTCTTTTACCCTCTTACAGTTTTAGTCTCTCCAGAAGTGAGGTCTGAAAAAGTTATACTAGAAATACAAAATATTACAATATACTAGAAATTCTATTTGTTTCCATTAACCCAGCTGTGGTGTCAGAAAAAATTTCATGTAGAGGTAAGCCTGGTATTTCTTACAGGCTATTGACTTTCTGTGACGGAGTCTTGATATTTTGTGAGACTGTGCTTTATTTCTTCACGTGTGGATGGGTCCAGGACTGTGGACCACAGCGTGTCTGAGCCTTGATCTACGGCAGAAGGTAGAGGTGAGTGCGATTGACCGGAGGGGCTTATTTCTGCTCTGCGCATCGGGGGCCGGCGCATGGGGAATGTATGGAGGAAGCTCCAGGGGCTCGCCGGGTGCTGCTGCAGAGCTGGAGCGAGGTCAGTACTTGATGCACTCGTCTGGCACGATGCAAGTAGAGAGGGTGACAGGATTTTATGAAGTATTTTCATATGCCAAAACCCTCGTGTCCTGCAGTGCGACTTCCTGTCCCGTCTGGTAGCGTCCAGGTGATGGCTGAGTCCCTCTCCCAGGGGACGGCATCGTCCCCTCACCCAAGTAAATGCTGGGTCGGGGTAAATTTGCAATATTCTTGGAATTGAGAATATTTTTGCCTGTTTTTCTCTGCTGCTCTGACAGGTGCGTTTGGCACAGTTCTTCATGAGAGTGCATTTGGAGGTGATGCTGTGGCCACTGGTGTTTACTCCACGGTCCCGCCCATGGGTGCTTCTGTCAGCACGCTTTGTTTTACGGACAGTGTTTGGAGACGCGCTAGTTCATGGGCTCACAACCAGTGTCAGACCTGGATTCTCCAGCCTGTGGCAGTGTGGGCTGAAGCTGGAAACAGCTGATGTTGACACTCTGCTTGTTTCGTTGCTATCTCCAAACTAACTTGAAGTAGAATCATGTGGTGTAAATCTATTGCTCTTGTATATTCCTGTCAGTACCCATGCGAAAAACAAAGTGAAATCTCTATGTCACATAGTTCAAAATGTCATTGGAATACGTGTGTGTGTGTGTGTGTGTGTGTGTGTGTGAGAGAGAGAGAGAGAGAGAGAGAGAACGCGCGCACAGCGGGAACAGCACAGCGGTGGCTTTCTGGTTAAGTTGCTGAAGTCTGGTCTTCCGCTTCCATGCACTGGGTTGGTGTGATGGCAGCCTTTGGGGACAGGGGAGACAAAGCTCTGGGTCCACGTCAGTGTACCTGCAGGGTCTCCGGTTTCCCAGGAGTGGTATGTGTTCACTCCTCTGGCCTCACAGTCCTCATTTACCTCGGCAGGAGCCCGGGTGGAGCCGGGTCCCCGAAGAGGCCTGTGCGGATTTCATGGGTCTGCTGGTGACAGAAACCTGCGTCGCTGTGCCCGCGGGGGTCCCTGGCTTGCCTGGGAACAGCGCGGAGACAGACGGTGCCCACTTGGCGCAGGGAAGTCGTCAGGGGAGAGGAGCCAGGAAGAAGGGAGAGGCAACTCGCTAACACTTCCAGACATCTTCGGGCTGCGTTCTGAGCTCCACAGGTCCCACCGGCCACCATCTAACTCATCACAGAAGAAAAGGTTCCGGGAGAAGAAAACAGTGAGCGAACTTGACCTTTAGTGCTTCCTGGGCTATCTTCAGTGGTCCTCAGTCCTGCTGCGTGGCCAACATGGTTCAGCTCTCATCCATGTGAGTCTGGCTCTAAGGCACATTGGGCTGTAGGAGGAGCTGGCCTCCTTCGGACCTGGAGCTGTGACCTAGCGCTCTGGACCCGCTCGCCCTGCTGGCTGCGCTGCTGCCCCAGTGAAGCCGCGGGAGCCCACAGCTTAGAGGCGCAGGAGCCGAACGCTCTCCCCTCAGCCTGACCACGGAGCCAGCCTTTCCTGGTCCTGGGCTGTGCCGCGAGTGGCAGGAATGCAGTGCCCTGGGCAGGCGGCGCGGGCAGAGCCCTTTCCAGGTGCTCGGCGCTGAGCATGCAAACTCTGCTCCTGCCAACTGTGACTTCAGAACCCAGGTCTGTTCCTGAACCTGGATGCCCAGCTGTCAGTGTGTCGCCATATGTCACTAGCACATGGCACCCTAATTAAAATTGCAAATCGCAGGCAAGTGTGTGTGCTGGCTGGCTCGCTTGGAAGGCAGGGACCTTGGGACCCCAACGCTGTCTGCCTTACTAGGAATGCACCCCTAGGAAGAGGCGCAGGCGGCCTTTCCCCCGAGGAGCGGTTGCCCTGGTGCCCCCTCCCTCCCACCCTGTCCTCCTCTGGGGACAGGGCAGGCAGAGGCAGCGTGGCCGGGTCTGGCCTGGGGCTCTGAGAACAGGAGTGTGGCCCTGCCTAACCAGGGTGCGGTTTCTCTCCGGCTGTGCCCCCGTCACCCTGCTGTAAAACATAGGAGAAAAGTTTACAGAATGAAGGCTGCTCGGTACAAGCCCTCGCTGTACTGCAGGGGCAGAGAGGGTGAGGCGTGTTAGTGTGAGTTTCCTCTGCAGCACCCTGGCTTCATGCATACACATAGCTGTTGGAAATGCCCTCCTGGAGAGCAGTCACCACAGTGCCTGCTGGACTCGGGTCGCTGTGCTGCGCTGGCAGGATGTCCTGCTGCGGGGCATCCTCTGTGATGCCCACCAGTTGTTGGTCACTTAGGAAACACAGGAAAATGCAGCCTTCACCCACCACTGTTGTGCAGCCGCTGTCTACACCCTGCTGTGGCTTGGATCTCAATGTCCTCCAAAGGCTCATTTGGTCAGGGCCTTTTTCAGAGGTGGCTGGGTCCAGAGGGTGTGACTGATTCACGGTGCAACGCTAGGACTAAGGGTGGGTGATCATTAAGTCAGTCCACTGATTGGTTTGCCACCACCCTAATCTCTGATAGCCTGGATAGAGCATAAAAGGGGCCAAAAAAAGCTTCTAAGGTCCCTGGCTTGCTCTGCAACCTTCTGCCTGCCATGAACGGCTCCTACTCGGTGATCCCCCTGTGCCACCCACCCCACCTTGGAGCCAGCTGATCACAGACTGAACCTCTACACACTGTGAGCCAAAGAAACCTTTCCCCTTTAACTTTGGGTGTTGGTACAGTAGACCCTTAACTGAACTCAGTCCGTTCCCAAGGGCTGGTTGTAACTCAGGTTGGTCAGTGGAGGCTCGGGCTCCCCTACACAGCCTTCAGAGTCTCTCTCCTGCACACAGGCAGATCTCAGGGTCCTCAGAGAGACACGGGCCTGGGATTTCCCAGTGAGCCCCACTCAGGAGAGGATGTTGTCCTGTTCCTTCCAGAGCTCTCTAAAGGTTAGGTCTGTATCTGAGACTACCTGGAAGCACAAGTGGCTGGCATTTGGGTTGTAACTCAAGACTTTGTTCATAAGTTAAAACCAAAATTCCTATCATAACCCAAGTTGTTCATATGGTGGCAGGTCATAACTCAAGGGGCCACTGTATTTTGTCTCAGCAACAAGAAAAGTAACTCATTTGAGGGCTGCATATTCTGTCTGATTCATACTGTTCCACAGGAGCACATCTGATGTGTAGCAGGAGTGAGATCTGAACCCAGATCTGTTTGACTCAAAACCGTGTGTAATATATTGTTTCCTCTCTGGGGAAATGTGTGTGTGTCGGGGGGTCATTCTTACCCTAGCTTCCAGAGACGAGGTGTACTCCATGAGTGCATTTCTGCACACATAGGCTGAATATTCCTTACCCCAAATCCTTGGGACTAGAAGTCTTTCAGATTCTGGATTTTTTAAAACAATTTACAGTTGGGCCAGGGATTTAGCTCAGTGTTTCTGGCACCTGCCTCGAACGCTCAAGGTCCCAAGTTTGATCCCCGGTACCAAAAAAAAATTTGCAGTATTTGCACATACAAAATGAGGTATCTTTGGTACCTTCCCAGCCTCTCCAGTCTAACTGTGAACTTCATTCCTGTCTTGTGTGCAGCTTTTACACAAAGCCTGAAACAGTGTTACAGTCAGTGTCTGCGTTTGACAGGGCCCCTCTGAGGAGGTCGGGTGGCCTTTCCCGCTTGTGATGTCCTGCCGGCCCCAGGCCTGTGTCAGGTACTGGAGCGCTCTGCCTTTCAGAGCTGTGGGTGAGGGGTGCCCTGCTAGTCTCTTCGTAAGCTTAGGCCCGGCATGGAGAGAGTGGAGCAAGACTTCCGCCTTTCGCCCCTCCTGACCTGGCCACCGCTCACTCCCCTCCTGGAGTTGGCCCAGCCGCGCACATCCACATCCTCAAGCCCAGGCTGAGAGCGGGAGGAAAGCCGAGCCAAGGGCCAGGCCAGGGAGAGGCGCGGGGCTCTGCCATCCGCCCGTGACCTCCGCTGCAGACCACGCATTTCCTGCCAAACTCGCATTCATCTGCACAGCGGCTGCCGCGGAACGCGTGTGGGAGAAAACAGCCCCCTGCCCCTCAGTGAGGGGTGGGCCACCTGCAGGCTCGCCGTCACGTTAGCAGTGGGCTGTCCCGGTCGTCCTCTGTCAACAAGCTGAGCTCTGCATTCGCGGGCTTTCTCAGCTGTGGCTCTTGGGGGTCGCCTGGAGTGTCCTCTGAAAAGCCGGCCTGATAGCATAAGTGAGCCGTGGCCTTCCTACGGCTGTGAAGCTCAGTGGTCATGGGTGGCTTCTGTCAGCTGCTCTGTGGCATCCCTGCCTAGAGTAGAGGTGAGACTGGCTGATTACCGATCAGCTGTTTGTGTGCTTTAAGTATAACGTGAGGAAGTTTATACAGACTTGACGAAAGCTTAAAGCACTCATGAAGCAGTGTCTGTCAGGCCATTTTCCTGTCTCTGCACTAGAATCCAGGGGAGAAAGGAAGGGAGGAAGGAAGGAAGGAAGGAAGGACGGACAGACGGACAGAGGAAGGGGCCGGGAGGGAGGGGAGGGGAGAGAGGACGGGAACGTCAGGCAGTGAGTCTGCTCGGGGCAGCACTGGCTGTGGGGCGAGGGGTGCCTGGAGCCCAGGACTGCAGGCGCCGCCACCGGGCCTGGAGTGGTCAGAGGCGCAGGGCCACATGAGCCTCTCTCCAGGCGTTTCGGGGTCCGCATCGAGTGCTGCAGGAAAGGCGGGCAGGGTGAATGCAGCTCAGCTCAAACAAACTGTCGGGTGGTCCGGCGCAGCTCTGGACAGACTGTTCCGTGAGATACCTGGGCAGTGGCATTTCCTAAAGATGAGTTTAATGAACAGTGAATTACCCGTGTCAGACAGTCCTTTTTTAAAATCATCAGATTCCAGTGTGCTCTTTTAATTTGTTGTGCAGAACCGAGCCGCAGCCCTGCCCCTGACTCCCGCTTGGCCGATTGGGGTGTGACTAACATCGCGCCCCGCCCATCCTGTGGGTCACCCCAGTACGCCTCGGGGACAGGGCCGCCCATGCCTGTGCTTCTGCCTTGTTTTGGCTTCCTATTTCCCTTAGGAGGAGGTGAAGTGTTATTCGTTATTTCTGTACAGTGTGATTGTGGTCATAAACTTTATCAGGGTTCTTTGAAATAAAATCCAACTAGGTGAAAAGAATGGAAAACACGATGGTCAACTTTGGGGACAGAAGATACAAAAATGTGACGACCGTAACCTGGGAGAGAATGTGTCCTGTGGGCTCCGGGGAGGGCTGGCTGTGTAGGGTCACGTGCATTTTCGAGAGCGCTAACAGCAGAGCGCTTCGTGCTTTGAGGATTTATTTCAGTATGTTCCTCAGAAGGTATGTTTTTGAGATTTATTGCACATAATTCTGTTAATCTTATCCTAGGTACTTTGATATGCAAGGTGGGTAAGAAAAAATGAGGCATACCAGATCTGTAGAAATGCTATAAATTATTACACAGTCATATAAGTATTTTTGGTATCCATGGCTAACTTTTAAAATGGCACAGTTACGAATATGTGTAAAGTCTGATGTACAATTGTTACTGATTGTTGTGCCATTAATACATAAGAACTTTTTAAATTTTATTTTCCACCCTTATGTTTTATTTGAAAATTAAAACTTTTAGATTTGCAGGAGGAGAATTAGCAGGGTGTACAATGAAAATGAGACACCCCCATGGGGAGAATATTTCATGTCTTTCAAGGAGCGAAAGAAAAGGCTTTGCTTAAACCTTTGCCATGTGCTAACGGAGCACAGCGCTTTGAGTTTATTTATTGTTAGGGCCTCTGTAAATCACGTCATCCTGAGTCGTGGAGACTGCACATTTGTGCATTAAATTGTGTAAACAACCAGAACCAGCCCGGTCCAGTTGCTGCGTCCCAGCTTCTGTGTTGCAGTGCAGATCTGTGGAGGGTGAAGTGGGGATTCCGCAGCGCAGCGATTCCCGTTAACACTTACGTTTTTGCTGAGCCAGCAAGGTCTGTGGGCAGGAGACTTAGCCGTTACTTTATTTCAGAATGTGTTTTCCATTCTGCCTTCCCTTGGGGTGTGGGTCTTGCTTTTCTCTGGGAGCCACATGCTGAGGCTGCCCCACTGAGTGAAGGCTTTGGAGTCCGGCCA